TCTCTCTCTCTCTCTCTCTCTCTCTCTCTCTCTCTCTCTCTCTCTCTCTCTCTCTCTCTCTCTCTCTCTCTCTCTCTCTCTCTCTCTCCACCTCAGTTCCTACAATCTTTACTCTTCTCACCGCAGGTGGAGCCGTGGCGGGTCCGCTTGTTTCTTTTACAACTTTTTCAAACTGCCACTACTCAGCACAAATCCACCTTGCCTCGGGAAAAAAAAGAAGGCTGGGACATGGTGTTGTGTTTAAACCACCAGTACTTGGGCGACGCCTTAGCGTTAACGCTACGGGTGCGTCGCTACCGGCGGGCTGTCGATAACTCGAATCGACAGCCTGCGCCGCTTCGAGATGTGGGCGACCGGCATGGCGTGCAGTGCCCAAGTACTGGTGGTTTAACAGATGTCCCCCAAGGACTTACAGCATCAAATACATCCGAATCTGGTCAACGTTGTGCAGGTCTATGTGGAAGGCTATCTCCAAGCAATGGTGGATGTTCTGTTTAGGCAGGAGTATCTTCGCATAAAAGTCTCAAATGATCAGGTATGAAATCAATCCAGCCTCTTTTTCACCTTTTTTAGGCTTTTTGAACCTTTTTCGTCTTTTTCAATTGTTTCAACTGTTTTTTTTTTTTTTTTTGTTATGGACATTTCCAAGATCCAGTGGCCCTTGAAAAAAAAAAAAAAAGGGGTAATTGACCCTTCCCCATACATCATCAACTCTGTTGCCCTCTGTTTTTGACTTCCAATTTCTGTTGGAATTCTTCCCAGCTTTTTCACAGAGGCTTTGAATATCTTTATCACTACCGCCTTCACCCGAATAGAACGCTGCCCTGTCATTTGGGCTGTATATAGAGCGATTTTTAGTCTACATAGAGCAACAATGACCGGGTGTTCTATTCAGGTGAAGACGGTAGCGTCTTCCCCTGTTAGAACGTACGGTCAATATAGCTGCATTTGGGGTATCTTTCGGTCTTAAGTACAGCAATAATGACTGTACGCAGCGTACGTTGTATTTGGGTGAAGACGGTAGCGTCTTTGACAGGGCCTTTGAAATTTGAATACCTTACGCACTAGCGTCTTCAGGTCAACAGACGAGGGTTGCGCTCGCTATAGGAGGGGACTTAACCAACTTTCTTTACGATTCATCCTGATCGTGAATGCGTACGAGCCATCCTTCTGGTCTGACGCAGTTATGCCGAGGGTGTGTTGCATTGGGGGCGGAATATGGTAGATGTGAAAGGAAAGATATCTGTGTATTGGCTTCTTCCACTCTCTAATAAGCAAGATTAGCAAATGCAATCGTTTGTGCAGTGATCAGTCAATCAGTCAGTCAAGTTTTTGGACCACAAGAGGGGAAAAGGATGGAGATGCCTTCGATCATAACACCTGTAAAAAAGAGAAAGACAAAAAAAAAGAAAAATCTGGAATTCCATAATTGCAATGGATTCGAAGCTGCAATTTCCAACAAGAGTTCCACAATTGCCAATGTCAGAATGCACCTTGACATATAAACGGTCAGGTGCGTGATTTGTACTGATGAGATGTACGAACGATTGGAGGATAAGTTGTGACAATGGTGGATAGTTTCCGGATTCGGATTCCGATCGATTGTGGTTATGGAATCCGAGATGAGATGAGATGAGATATGAGATGAGTGGCAAACCAGTCCTCCTCTCATCCAAGGAGTATAAGAAACCTTTTCTTTATCCTTTATCTCACTATCTCAGTAGGGAGAAGTAGGGAGAAGTAGGGGGAGAAGTAGGGGGAGAAGTAGGGGGAGAAGCAGGGAGAAGTAGGGGGAGAAGCAGGGAGAAGCAGGGAGGGGAAGCAGGGAGAAGTATGGAGTACAGAGTGATTGGAGTTTGTCTGGGTTTGGTGCACTAACTTCCTTCGCTTTGGGTGGATACAGGTGATCCTCAAGAATCTACCACCGAACAGCACTTTATCGGAGGAGATCGTGGGCGCAGTTAGGGCCTTTCTGACCAAAGAAGGCCTCTTGCAGGGGCAGACTTCTGCAGCAGCTGCGAATGTGCTGCGGCGATTGCGAGGAGAAAATGTAAGAAGATTGCCATACGCCAAACTGAATGCGCGAGGGACAGGCATCATGTTTGAACTGCTTTGGCTTTTTTTTTT